TAACACAGGCACGACTCGAAAATACAAACAATTATTTATACAACTCTCACCGTTTGATTTATAATGCATTTTATTTTAAAATGTTTTCCTTTAAATTATCTATAAAAAAAAAAAAACAAACCTTTTAATAACACAGGCATAAAAACTTAAAACAGCCACGTCATAATTTCCAACAAAAATATAATATAGATATTATTTTAAACAATAACATTACACAGATGTCCAACTTCACACCTATATGGATAAGCTTTTTTTGAATTTCAGAATTAGATTAGAATATAGAATTGAATTTTTAAATTCACTCCCCTCCTCTCTTTCATACAAAAATTCAAATAAAGAATATTTGTCTTAATATTTTGATTTGCACAATACTAATATCGCCATTTAACGTTTAAACCGGAGGAGTAGAACTGAATTATCAATGTATAATTTAAACACAGATTAGCACGTTATTACCAATCCCTACTCCGATCTAAATTTAAACGGTTATAACTTATAAACGGTAAATCTGATATTAGTGTTATGCATATCAAAATGCCAATAAAAATATTCTATATTCAAAAGGAGGAATTCCTATTTGAAAAATAAAAGTATGTACTTATTTGGGACACATTAAGTAGGAGTAAAAACTAAAAATTATTTTTAAATAAATATGTAAACATATACATTATGTATAAAAATAGAAACCTGAATAAATTAAACATTTTAATCTGTAAATAATTAACTGGACATTTTTAAATTCTTTAAGTACCACTTATATTATTACTTTGTATTTTAAATATTGGATGGTATGAATGTATATTTAATACTCATGTTTAAATAAATAATGATAATTTTATGGCAAATGTATATTTAAATATACAATAATAATGTTACGAATAATATATGTATCCTTGTCAACTAAACCATAATTATATATACTGCTAATTACGGATGGACGGACACAATGGGGATATTATAAGGTGTTAAATTTATGTTTAGTAATTTAAAACTGTAAAATATAACACTTTAATTATTAATAGCATTGTATTATCATTTTCAAATTTGAACATATTCATGTCCTTTCCTAATATTATTTTTATTTTGAATTAAAATTAGAATACCCAACATAAAGGTTAAGGATACATTTTATATTAAATTTTCAGTTCGTTAATAAATTAAAACTACACATTTTATTTTCAAATTAAAACATCAGTATTAACTGCACGTGAGAATAATCAATTTAATAAAAAAATTTACAAAAATAAACAAACCACAGGGAGGATTCGCTAGAATTATTTTTTTATATTTACCACAGAGATGCACGTGATTCTTTATTGTAGTTTCGCAAAATATTCACCAAGCTGTGAGAATTATACAAAATACTTTTTTTATATTTATATATATATATAATCAGTGTTAAAATGTCTATATTTTATAAATCTATAAAATTCTACGTGTATAATAATATGTTTGCATTATTATTTCAGTCTGGATAAAAGTATACTTAAATACGAAACAGAAAAAAAAACTTTAAGCCCATATACAATCAATACAATTACAGGTATTTAGATAATAGGTAGGTAGTTTATCCATCTCTACCTAATTTTTTTCGCAAGTTTTTTTTTTGGTACCCCAATCAATTTAATTTATCTCAAAAATGTCAAAAGATTATAAGCACAAATAACTTTTTTGTTTTTTTTTTCCTAGAAATATTTTAGAAGACCCGCGTTAATTTTTATGAAACTCATAAAAAAAAAACTCCAAAATATCAAAAACTACCTAAAAACTTTAACAAAATTTGACTTTCACGTTTTGCGTTGTATTAATATTTTAATTCCACGTCTTTAAATACACTTATTGCATAATAAATAATAATAATATAGATGCGTATTATAATTATAACTTTCGATTAAAAACAAAAATCCACATTATCAATAGAAGTATAAGTATAAAATACATTTTTGATCTTACGTTTATATTTGTAGATTCCATAAGTACCTGCCTACCTAAATTATGCAATCTAAAATATAATATATAGGTACCTAGTCAATAATTAATATGATACTGTTAAATTAATAAATATTGTGCTCAAATTTACCTTAATAAATAACTTTAAGCACGTGCTAACCACAAACCTATAATACCTATATAATATAATAGAACCAATACTTACTATTAAACAAGTACTAATAGAATATTCTGAAAAAAAAAAATGATATATAATAAGCGTTGTAACTCATAAATGGCGATTTTGAGTTTAATCGCATTTCATATATTGAAAACGCAGTTCTTTATAGTTTATAATGCACCAGTGCACTATCTATAACCATATTTTCTTAGATCTATAGGAAATTAAATTTAAAAAATATATGATAAAGTGTCTATTATTATGTTAAGAAAAATAATCGTGGTAGGTTAGGTTAGGTAACCAATTACTACAACTAAGTTGGTTACTGTAAATACATTTATGTATGTTATAATTAAATAATTTATAATGATATATAGTTTCATTTAAAATTATATACTATGCGTGCACTATAGTGCAAAACACAAAAAAATTGTTTAAATTATTTGAACAATTTAAAATTGGAATATTAAAAAACTTCTTAATTTGCAATATTTCAAATTTCATTAATAGTAAAAAAAATAATTTTAAATTTATCAAATTAGCATTTAAAATACCTATGTACAATTTGTACGAGTGCTACTCTACTTCTATAAAAAAAAAAGGTAACAATTAGAAAAAATATTGTACTAATATCGGGTTATTTAAAGAAAGGAGATGATTTTAAAATTACTAAAATAATACCTACTAGTATTATATCTGGTTATAGTAATTAGTTATTTTTTAACACTAAATGTATTAAAGTTACAACAAATAAATATTATAGAAGTGTACATATTTAATTGCAATTATACATTTCGTTCGTATAAATTTAAAAAAAAATTGATAAAAAAAATACCTACTTATATTTTACAAAGTATTTTCTATAAATAGAAAAATCGAAATTTTAAAAACATATATCATACATAAAATTATAAAAAAATTGAAAATACTTGAAAACTAAATATTCATTATTTTTTTAAAATGCAAATAAAATGGATCGATCAATTATAAACTATTATATAAAATATACCTATAGTACTCACCGATTCGTAGTTTATAATTTACGAACTGATATAAGCTACGGACCTCTTGGCTTATAGGTCATTTTACCCAAAACACTCCGAAAAGACTGACAGGTGAAGCTGACACAGACCTCTCTAGCATCTCGGTCGTGTACCACACGCAAACTGAAAACCGTTGCTATGGATTCAGTCCGACGCATTACGACGCTACTTCTCAACGAATTTACTCCATGAATTTCGCACGGTCGTTTATGAATTTTATATGATACATTATTTATAATACCTATGAATTGATTTTGAAAAATCTAAATTTTTGTAATCGCTAATAATAAACAAGTAAATGCTGATGCTTACGGGTAGGCCACTGTTATAAATGGAAATATGTAGAATATACTAGTTAATTTAGTTTATGTAGTTAATGTATTCAACCACAAATCGTAACAGAAGAAAATGACTCTGAACGAAGTTTATTACTAGTTGTGTTTTCCCAATAGTTAACCCAGAAATTAACGAAAAACAAAAATAGACTGTAAAAAAAAAAAAGGGCGAACTGCTGCAAATTGCAATAAATGCTTCACCAGGCAGAATTCTTTTGATGAGCGGTGTGAAACACGATCAAAGTTTTTTCTCTAATCGAAAATTATTTTTTGAGAACAAAAGAAAAAATACACATCTTAATTAAAATAAAACTAAAATTATCATTAACCCGACATCAATCAATAACAAACAGGAAACATTCATAGTAAAAATGTTTTTTTTTTTTATTATTATTGTTAAGTAATATTATAGGTGATTAAGTTTATAAAAAATCTGTACTGCACTACCAAAGCTACATTTTTTTTTGAAATGAAAAACAAACCGACATTTAAAAATTCTATAGATACATATAGAACCAAAAAAAATAGTAAAATTTTTTAACGAGTTTTTTTTATTTCACTCAGTTAAATATTAATCAGTGTTTATAAGTCCACATGCATGTCGGTATAAGTTAGGTAAGTACTAAGCATAAATAAATTTAGAATTTCTAGTAGTTTACGATATCATTTTTCATTTTTATTATTTAAGCAATAAAAAATTGTACAATAAATATCCTTAAATAGTTACTCAAATACCTAAAACTCAAAAATGGTAATTCTGATATATTTCCTACAGGATAAAAATATTGAAAATGTATAAAACTGTAAATATATACTATAAGTTTAAAATGACATTGTCTTTAATCTGCTTTATAGTTTTTTAATATCTTGTTAATAGTATCAGTGGTGAGTCGAAATTACTTTTTTCCTATACCTGCAGGTATTCCGATATAAAATTGATACCCAATCCGATATTTAAAATCGAGAACTCTGAGCTGATATGGAAATAAACCAATATATAGGTAGAAAACTCGATTTTTTTTAAACTCTTTTTTTATATTATAGAAACATTTTTCTCGAAAATATCTGGTTAAATATTAATTTTAAATTACTAAACATTTATAACTAGTTAAATATAACAAAATATAAAACATATTATATGAGTAACAATTAGGCAGCGTTATTCATAATTATTATTATTTTGCCATTTTCCTTACAATCGTAATAATTTAACATATTGGAATTTGTTATTATTGTTTACATCATACACATTCTCGATGTGTCTAAAAAAAAAAACATATAATTCCAATAAAACATTAAAACATCAAACCAATAAAATTCGATGTAATCATAATGTAATTTATTTTAGCGCTTCAATTCATTCAAGTTTAATAGTGTTTTGACCAACGTATCCCAGGGTGATTGTTTATAATGGCTCTTAAGAATAAGAAAAAAGACGTTTTATGAATTGCAGTAACTGAAATATTTTAGTTAACCGATGTACTAGGTACCTATATGTATACGGTGTTGACCATGTTTAATCCAAATCGAGGAATAACAATAACTTTATGGATCATTACTCTGTTTAAAATTGGTTTGCTACAAAATTTACAAACAATCAATATACGTGAGTAAATAAAATTTATTTTTTTTTTTTTTTTATTGTATTAACATTTGTGACGATTTACTATAATACCTCCACTGTCTCTCTCTCACTCTCTCTCTATACATATACATTATATTATTTATCTGTCTTAAATCCAACATTTAGTGTTTATCAACGACAAATCGAATTCAGCGGCCGAAGAAACTTTGAACGTAACGTTAAATTATATACGAAGAAATCCAAGGGTCGGATTAATGATCGATGGTTTATATTCTGTACATATTAGCGGAGACGACGCTTCAGCAATTTTAGATAAACGTACGATAATAGATTATCATACTAATAACATTATTAGTGCACCCTCAAATTATCTGTTTATCAAAATATCCCACATTCAAAATAACCCCTTCAAAAATCCCTGTTGAAAATATCCCACGACATTCCTAATATAAATCAGTCGAACTTGTCACGCGAATTCATAATTTTAACCATATTTTATCTGAAGTCCATTAATTAGGATTTTCCTCCAAATTTAATTTTTAAAATAAAAAAAACTCCTGAAAACTACTATTAGCTACATTTTTAAACACTTTTAGAAATGCAAGTATATTATTATAAATATATTACTTATGTCATGTTTTGAATGAGGATATTTTTTAAATAAGAAACATTTCCAACAGGGATATTTTGAATGTAAAATATTTTGATACACGATATAATATTTTGAGGGGATCTATGATAATTCAAACTATAATCATTAATTGTATGATCTATGTTAGAGTATATCATGTTTATAAAAATCTAGTAAAAAAGTTATAAATATTTTTTTTTAGTAACATTATAATATTATTAAACAATAGTCATAACATATTTTTAACTCGTAGAAATAATATGATTTTAAATTTGTACATGTATAGTTTGTGTAAGTTATAATGAATCGATACGAAATAACAAACCACCGCATTTGGTAATCGATACAACGATTAACGGAGTTTCATCTGAAGCTGTAAAATCGTTTACCGCTGCTTTAGCGTTGCCTACAGTCAGTGCATCATATGGACAAGACGGTGATATTAGGTAAACTATATATGAGTAATTTACAAAACATACATCTTTGGTCCCAGGGATGAAAAGCTTAAGTCAATGTTGTACCTATGGTTTTCAATAAAATTAAATTAAAATTAAATGTTGATACATAGGTACACTTTGACATCACTAATACACTAGTATATTAATGTACAATGATTTTGGAAATATACACATGTATTCCGTACAAACCAAAAAAAGTGAAATATGACAAGATAAAATTATAAAAAAATTACAAAAATTGACTTAATCCTGGCCAATGATATACTAAATTGAAAAAATAATGATCGATTGAGATAATTTTTAAATAATAAAATAATAAAGTAAAAATAAAATGATTAACTGGTTAATACTAATAAACACAAATTTAAATAAATAAATGTAATTTTGGCGTTGTGATTTTACCCGACGACATATTTTTAATTCAAAACCACTCGTACAATACACATATCATAATACTTCAGGCGACGCATTCATTTATTTATTTATGTAAATAATTTATAAACAATATTTCATTGCACTATATATACTTAAATTCACTACTTACACAAGTTATTTGTAAGCCATAGATATGTATACATGATGGAATCTACAACAATAATAAAATAATTTTTTTTACAGTTTAATATTAATTACTAAACTAAAGAACAACACGGTTATTAATAAATAAATAAATAAATACGTCGCTTAAAGTATTTGTATTAACCATTTAATAATTTTGTTTTTACTTTATTAATACGGTTATTGTTTGTGTTATTATTATATCTTGTTAAAGCGAAAGTTATCTATTAATAATAAAAACGGAGAGCTGATACTGGGAATGAGTATTAGATATGTTACTGTTGTAAAAGGCAAGTTGGGGAAACAGTGTACATAAAGTTATTTAATTTATATCTGTACACAAAGATAAACCATTGCTAATGAAAAACGATTCTGAGGGAAGTTTGGTTACCCATGTTTTAAAATGCCGTGATATTTATGATTTTCGTCAAAATATAAACTTAAAATGCTTATAAAAAAAATTACCTTAGTGCACTCCAATTTTTTGTATTCAACCACTATGTACAATTTGTAATGAACTTCCTATTAACTTTTAAGCATTTTTGTTCAGTCAAATAATTGTATCTATAGATAATATCTACCAAATAAAAACTAAAAAGACTGGATAATATCGATTGCCTATATATATCACAAAAAACGTCAGAACGTTTTGAAAATGTCGAGACGTCTAGAAAAAGCTAGTACAATAAATAATAATGTATAAATATTAAGTATTCTATGAAAAAATGTTGTATGATTGTTTTTAATCGTTTTATAACAAAAACAAAATCGAAATTAGTGAAACCGTTAATGTTGTAAACTTTCCCATGTTCATAATGTTTCCCACCCCCAATTGTTATAAAAAGCACTTGGAAAATCAATAAATAATCTTCTTATACTACCAACTAGATCCAGTACTCAACAAAAAAATTTATCTTATCTTTTTTTTCATTGGAGCAAGATTTTTAGAAGAAAATGTGTTTATAGACAAAAAAAAAAAATACACACCATATTAAAACCAATACATTCCTCACTGCGTTAAAAATTTAAAAAAAATTGCACACATCGTAGTAAAACCAATACATTTGCTACGGTCAGAATACAAAATAATAATTATAACAATAATAATAATAAATTGTATTTTTATAGACAATGGAGAAATTTAGACGGAGAACAACAAAAATATCTTATACAAATAAGTCCACCCGCTGACATAATACCGGAAATAGTGAGGAGTATTGTGGTAGCACAGAATATAACTAATGCAGGCATTATGTTTGACGATACATTCGGTAAGAAGGTTAACAATTATTATAAAATGTTAAATAATTATTAAAGTATTATTATATTTAAATACAATGAAAATCACTTATTTATTTATAACGTTAAAATCGTTGAAACTCAAACTATACTACCTACTTTTATTTCATTCATTGAAATGTTTTTAATAGTTAATGCGTAAAATAAAAATAAAACATGTTTTATTGGGGATGGGTGTGCTATTGCTATAAGTAGGAATGGGAAATTTAGGATATATAAAGCTATTTAGTTTGTATCGGTAAGTAAAAATACACAATTTTTACTAAAAATAACTCTGAGCAAAGTTTGGTTAAGTTTTTAAATGCCATAGTATTTACTAGTTTTGTAAAAATATAATCTCAAAATGCTTAAAAAAAAAAATAAACTATTACATTACTCTCAATTTGTTTTACCACTAAGTAGAGCTTATAATAAACTTAGTGTTAAATTTGCAAGTATTTTATGTTTGGTCAAACAATGTTATTGTTAAAACATTGTTAACATTATTAACAATGTTATGTATCTATCAAAGAACAACAAAATGCCTATGAATAGCTGAGAAATCACCAGAATATTTTGAAAATTGTATGACGTCAATCAAAAAAAGACAAACATAAATGTTTGCCAACATTTTAAGTCTCTGCAAATATTTATAATTGAATTACAACAAAAACAAAATCAAAAACAATGAAACCATTATTTCCGTAAACTATCCCGATCTTTCTACGTTTTTTTCAATAGTCTTGCTCAATTATTAAAAAAACTACACAAAACATAAAAAAAAAAAAAAAAAAACGATTTTCTTATCCACAAAAAAACGTTTGGCATTTTTCGATTAGTGCAAAATATTTTTCTGGTAGAAAATTTGTTTACTGACAAAAAAAAGTTTATGTGAATTAATAATATAAATATTTATATTTTTCAGTCATGGACCACAAATATAAATCACTGCTACAAAATATTCCGACTAGGCATATTATAGCGTATATAGACGATTCAGCAAGTATAAAACTTCACTTGACTAGATTTCGAGACGTAGACATAGTTAATTTTTTTGTTTTGGCTAAGTTAACAACTATTAAATCTGTGTTAGATCACGCTAATTCCAACAAATTATTCGGCCGAAAATACGCATGGCATGTAATAACACAGGTATATATTAAAATTAAAAAATATATCACAATAATTTTAAATTTAAATTTTTAAATTAACAAACCACAACATCAACTGACAATTAATTATTCTACACGTCTATACACTAATTGGAAACACAAATATTTATTTTATATTTTTAGGATAAAGGATCACTTAAATGCGGCTGTTCTAATGCTACTATTTTATTCGTGAAACCGGAACCGGATGCTGGAAGTCGCGAAAAATTATCGAACCTACGAACAATGTACGGTTTAATGTCAAATCCAGAACTCCACGCAGCATTTTATTTTGATTTTTACTATCGATCCTTATTAGCAGTCAGGTAAGGTAATATTTTAAAATGCATACTATAGGTAATTAAAATACACTTCATAAAAACAATGAAAATCGATAATTTAATATAATTCATAATTTACAAACAATTTCCATTTTTTATATTAAATTAAACAGATCTCTAATGAATAGTGGTGAATGGCCAGTTAATATGACCTACACCACATGCGATGATTATAACGAGGAAACTCCACTTCCCAGAAGAAATGTAGATTTAAGAAGATATTTAAAAGATGTAATTAAAATTATTTCAAAATCATACATGTATCTTCTTTGTGTATTTCTAAATTATTTATTTTTACTAACCAGATGACGGAACCGCCATCATACGCACCATTTTTAATCGAGACGAATGGTCACAGTTATGAAGAATTTACTATGCGGCTGGAAAAAGTTACAGTAATCAATAGTCAATCGGTTAGTGCTGAAAATATTGGATCGTGGAAAGCAAGTTTAAATTCTCCAATCGCCGTTAAAGATGCAGCAAACATGACACATTTTTCAGCAGTTACTGTATACAGAGTAGTAACTGTATTGGTAAATATTGTATTGTTGTGGTTAGGAAAACTCTATACATTTTGTGAGCCAACTCGATGAAATTACTCCTTAAGAAAGTATTGGGAGTATTGGGAGTATTGGGAGCAGTATAAGATGTTTCTTTTGTATAGTGTTGTAAAATTATAAATATCATAATATTATTAGTAAGTATCTACCTATTATTTCAAAAAATTGTTGACAATTTTAGTTCATATCCATAACGCATCAATATTATTCATTCAGGCGTTAAAATAATCAATCGTAATTTATACTTTTTATCAATATTTATGCTATTAAAGTACCCTATATTTCAAGTTTATCTCAAAAAGAAAAAGTTTTGCATTAGGCATTATGAAATTAAACTGTCAATGTAAATTATTAGAATAGAATCCAAAATCGATTTTTATTCACATAAAATAGAAACTAACGACATAACTATAATATCTGTTTTCAAAATGGAAACGTATATGACATAGAATTTATAATTTTCCTTTAGGTAGATACTTATTTAAAGATAAAACGCATACAAAAATGTTTCATTTTCAACCGTTATACAGTATTATTATTTTAAATGAATAATAAAAATTCTATTTTAAACTAAAATAAAAAAAAGTTTTATTGTGAAAGCCGAAAGTCAACCGGAAAACAACGAAAATAATTTATTCAATCTAAGTTTCTTCAAAAAAAAATGAGTGTTACTCAAGTCACTATTATAATAAAAATAAATTTCACAAAATAATAATAATTTACATTTTATAAATGTTTCAGCAAAATCCATTTATGATACAAGTTCGTGATGATGATGAAAAAAATGTAAAATTTAAAGGTTATTGTATTGATTTAATTGAAGAAATTAGAAAATTAATTGGGTTTGAGTATGAAATTTATATAGCTCCTGACAACAATTTTGGTAAAATTAAAGTGATTAAAATCATAATGGCAAATGTACATTTAATATGTGCTTAAATTATTTTTCAGGTAATATGGATGAAAATGGTCAATGGAATGGAATGGTAAAAGAACTTGTTGAAAAGGTAATATACGTATACTGCATTATAATAAATACCAAATTATTTCTTTATTTATTTTGAATAACAATGGAAACAAATGTTTTTCAGAGAGCCGATATTGCGTTGGGTTCTCTCTCTGTAATGGCTGAGAGAGAAAATGTTGTGGATTTTACGGTTCCTTATTATGATTTAGTTGGAATAACGATTTTAATGAAAAAACCTCAAACGCCAACTTCGTTGTTTAAATTTCTTACAGTTTTAGAAAACGACGTATGGATGTGTATACTTGGAGCTTATTTTTTCACTAGGTAAACCGCACACATACCTGTTTATTTTCTATATATTATACAAAGTAATGTATATTATAAATAAATTTACATAAAATACTCATTTTTAAAAAAAATATTATAAAATAGATGTACCTATAAATATTTTTGTTTCAATTTTAACTGTTGTCATTAAAATGTTTGCCTTGTATACGATTAGCTTATTAATGTGGGTATTTGACCGCTGGAGTCCATATAGTTATCAAAATAATAGAAATAAATATAAAGACGATGAAGAAAAACGAGAATTTAACTTAAAAGAATGTTTGTGGTTTTGTATGACTTCTCTGACTCCACAGGTAATAGTTAAAATATTTAAGGTAAAATTAAATGAATTTAAAAACCTATACTATCTAAAATGTGTTTTTTTGAAATATCTATTAATGTGGTACTCATAACTTTTATGCAAATATAATAATTTATTCATTCAGAATAATATTTTTACATGAAAGTCATGACGTTCGAAATCAAACAACTATTAAGAAGAAGAAAATAATGTGCCATTATTATTACTAAAGTTTTTTTTTTTTTTGTACTTTCATAGGGTGGAGGAGAGGCTCCTAAAAACCTATCTGGTAGACTAGTTGCTGCTACATGGTGGCTCTTTGGTTTTATAATTATAGCATCCTATACAGCTAATTTAGCAGCTTTTCTAACAGTCTCTCGGTTGGATACCCCCGTTGAATCATTAGATGACTTATCAAAACAATACAAAATACAGTATGCTCCACTGAATGGTTCATCAGCAATGACATATTTTCAAAGAATGGCTGACATTGAAACACGATTTTATGAGTTGAGTATAATTTATAATAAGTTTATATTATATAATTAACAATATCGGTTTAAATTTTATTTTTGTTTATACTTAAGTTTTTCTAAAAATAATTATAACATGAAATACATTTTTAGTTTACCTATTTGAGTTACTTATTAATATTAAATCGATACAATTTTATGAATAATTCAGTAAATCTAAAATTATTATAGAATATATTTATTATTTTATGGGTGGCTGATTTGTTTATTACCTAATATTTTAAAAGGTTACCTAGGTGTAACGTCTCAAAATAAAAAAAAAAACAAATAAATACAATATCAGTATACCAACTATAGGAGAACCGTTTAAAAAAAAAATTAAAGGAATAGGGATTTAAAAAGGAGATAAAATTATATAAGGGGAAAAAATATTATGTGAGACAAAAAACAAGGAGAGACATTTTATTTAAATAATAACAAAAAATATATTATGATGAATATAGAGTAATTTAAGAACAAATGAGATAATAGGTAATTTATAATAACCTATTTTAAGACCGAAATGATGATTATAATTAATAAAGTTTTTAGGGAGTCCAAGTTTACGAGAGGGATTTAATGTTGAAGCAAATACAATTTGTTGAGTCTTGGAATCAGATAGATTATAAATACTATAATATGTCTATTTATCTAAACATTAATATTAACATACATTTTAAAACGTGCCTACAGATTACATTATTAGTCTATCCTACTCTACGTTTAAATCGAATATTATTTAACAAAAATTATTCATAATTGTGTAGAATTTGGAAAGATATGAGTTTAAACGACAGTCTCAGTGAAGTAGAAAGAGCGAAATTAGCGGTTTGGGACTATCCAGTTAGTGACAAGTACACAAAAATGTGGCAAGCAATGAAAGAAGCTAAACTACCAAACACTTTAGAAGAAGCTATTGAAAGAGTTAAAAGTTCTAAATCATCTAGCGAGGGATTTGCTTACTTAGGTGCCTATTTAATTAATTGCACACATATTAATAATTCTAATAATACACTCGGTGTGTTTCTTTGGTAGGTGATGCTACCGACATTAGATACCAAGTAATGATCGATTGTGATTTACAAATGGTAGGCGACGAATTCTCTAGAAAACCATATGCCGTTGCTGTTCAACAAGGTTCCCCGTTGAAAGATCAATTCAACAACGCAATTTTATTACTACTAAATAAACGAAAATTAGAAAAATTAAAAGAAACATGGTGGAATATGAACCCTGAAAAAATACAATGTGAGAAACAAGACAATCAATCCGATGGTATAAGCATCCATAACATAGGTAGGTATCTAGTATACATTTTACTTGTTCAAAAATCCAATTTATTATTTCAATTTTATTAGAGTAATAATAATAATAATAATTTATTCAAAAGAAAAATAAAACAGGCAAAAATCCAATAATACAGATGAGAAAACATAGAGATTATAACTAAAATAAACTAGAACTAAACTAAAATAAAATATAGTAGTGTTGTATTACCTAGTATATCACATATAAATAGTTAAACACGAGTTTAAAATTACCTCTAAAGGTGAAAAGAAAAAATAGGATGTGCAATCTGTATCCCAATCTAACCTAACTAATTTTGTTAAAAAAGAAATTAAATTATCTGGTAATAATAATAGGTATTTACTAAAACGGTTTTAGAAAATAAATAAATGGAAATCTAAATTTAGGAATTCGAAATATTACTATAATAATAATTTAGAGTTTCAACAATTTATTTTCCATGCAAACATTTGATATGCAATCATTTTAAGTATAATTAGTGTCCCATGTTAAAATAATTCACAATATTTATTATCAAAAAATATTTTCTGTACATTTATTTTCCTTAAAATTATATACAGTTTATTATTATTTTCCGGTTATTTATTTTCAAGATTTTCGTTTTCTATTAAATTATTTATCGTGCTAATAAATATGTTTATCTTTACAGTCAATGCGGACGTTTTCGTAACTCGGGGAACCCAACATATATATATCAGATTAGTTAATAGAACTATTTCCTTAGGAACATATTTCAGATCACGGATAACAATAAATCGATCAGCTGATCGAGTGTCTATTCTATATGAATATATTATTCGTTGCTACGTGTCGACATATTGGGTACCCGGACAATTAATTACATTTGTGCTTAACTAAGTCGTAGTTCATCACAATAAAAATGATTGGTATAATAACATTGATACTCGTCCGATTTGAACTATATATCACAGAGCGCCCAACAAAATATAATATTATATTGTAATGCTAATATACATTATTGCATTATATTTATTATAACAAATAACAAAAATATATTCTAAGTTATATTTTTATTTTTTTATTATTATTATCTTATGGTGTGCTCGAGCATGCGTGTAATTATTTGACCAAGATTTGTCGTGTTTTAATTGTATTATTATATGAGACAAATTAGCAAAACACTTCGCGCGCTTAAACCCAGGACCTGGTAAGCCAACTAACATACGATGCCACACAACCACAGAATGTATACCACGGTCAGGTCCGAGATAAATCGGATAATATATAGGATAGTCTGGTATTATATACCTACGGCTATCGTCTCTTCGTCAGTGGTACGGAATAACGGACACGAACGCCACCATCTATATACATAATACATATTATATAAGCGTGAATTTTTAAACCGCAAACTATAACATACTATGTTTTAAACCGTAATTTAACATATTTACATTTTTACGATTATTGAAACCATGTAAATAAAATGTTCGTTTTGCGGTGGCCCACTAAAAACACACCCTATACAAACATTGTCCGAAAATATCGGGGGGAGAAGGCGTGACCTCTCTCGGCTCCCACTGCGGGCACCTTTCATCAAAACTCTAGGTTTATTCAAAACACTATTTTCCCCTCTGAATTGTTACAAAAAAACAAACTTAATTTGAAGAGGTTACTTTTTGATTTTCTTCTTACTGTTTGTGATAGTAGAGGAAAACTTTCTTTTTAACAATAGCAAAATTATTATTTTTAAATATTAAAACACACAAATTTGAGCCCTGAGGGTTTCGGGGACTTAGAACTTTTTTTAGTCCTTTCTAAGCACAAACAATTTTCCAAACATTGCCGATTTTTTTAGATATAATTATTAATTACAGACATTCGAAATTTTCGAGTTTTTCAGTTTTTAATATTCTTGATGTGGATAAAACTGTATTGGCCGAGAAAAAAATGATTGAAAATTGTACACGAGAATTATTATATGATTTATATATTAGTTAAAAAAAAAGATTCCATTTTTCTTTTAACATGAAAATCTAAGGGTTCCGGGAAACCCGTGCACTTTAAAACAAATTAAAATGTTATATTAAAATTATTTTTTTTTTAGATTTAGTACGAAATTTATTATGTGCTTATGTTTTTTAGATTCTGTCATTCTAGGGGAAGCAAGAAATATATTGGTTTTACTATGATGTTTGTTTTTGTTTTTTAATTTTTTAGATTCTAAGTGGATCTGATACTATGTTGTTTTTATTTTACGCCTGTGAACATGTTTTATACTAGACTGAACAATGTGGACATTCTGCACCGGTTTTCGAATATAGCAACTTTTCTGAAATAATTTTTAAATTTGAATTTAATTGGTGCATTAAGGATATAATTTTTTTTTTGTAGTTTTTTAAAATTTAGGAAAAATATACGAACAAAATGGAAAACGAACTCTACTTTTATTGCTATCCTATACAAATTTAACTATAGGAAATAGTATGATATTTCTACAGACAATTTAACGGCTTTTAAATTTTGTTCCATTCGTTTTGATTGTAAGTTCAAAAGTTAAGGCTTTATTAGTAAAAACAAGAAAATGGTCTCAATTTTATTAAACTGGACAACACATCAATGCAGCTATTTTATTTTTGCAGTTCCGATATTATATTTGTGCAACAAACTAATAAATTAACCCAAAAATAACTTTTGCGATAACGATTGGGCACGCGGCGGTACCTACCTAACCTGCTTAAATGGCGGTTAGGTAAACCAAACCCTTATGCAGTACCTATTGTTTTCATAAAAACCAATAGAGTATACGCTACCTTTATGAATATAAACTACACATTTTGTAACTTTATAAGCACAAAATTGTTAATCAGATTCAACTATACAAAAAGCCGGTCGCTTTTCTCGTAAAAAAAAAAAATTAATAATTTTTAAAAACGCTTACATAATACATTCACAAATTCGAAAATATCACAAAAATACTTGTTTCTTAACCAATTTTGTACATTTTTATTTACGTAGGTACCTAAGTATTAAAAACTATTTCATGGGTTAGATTTACTATCAAATTGTAGCTTGTAAAATGATTAACTCACACCAACGTCCAGCAAAAAAAAATAACATAATAAGATAATAAATCTATTACTGAGTATAAAAATCTAATTATATCACACTAATACGTGGTAATAACCAATCTTAATTATTTGTTACACAGTTTTAACATAGCTATAGCATAAGTCTATAGCTGATAATAATCGATCTAATAAATAATTATACAGAATATTTGTAAATTATTTGTAAATCGAATGCCTTATACTGGCTATGTGTACATTTTTGTTTAAATTTTAAGGTACACGTACGTATTTTTACTGTTTTTTTATAAGGTACACGGTAATTCACCAAATGGTAAATGAGTATGCATCGTATACTCCCGTATACTCTTTAAAATACCACTAATTTTAGATACCTGTCATATAAATTGCGTAATTTTTTTTCTAAGAATCAACTACTCTCCTCACCTCTTACTTTCCGAGATAATGATTTTATTATGGATAATTTATTACCCAGAGTTATGTAGGATTGTATAACGTTAATTTATGACAATTTAAATGATATAATAGTATTAATTGATGAAAAAACAAAGTTAATTCATAAACCTTGATTTTTTTTTTTTTTTTAGGTGGAGTTTTTATTGTTATATTTGTCGGAATCGGATTAGCTTGTTGCACATTAGCATTTGAATATTGGTGGTATAAATACAAAAAAAGCTCGAAAGTCGCAAATGTAATGAATCCAAAAAAAATGACAATAGGTAGAGGTGAATTTACGTATCCGGTTATACGTAATTTTAATGAATCTTCGGAAGTAAGATCAAGAAGTATTATTCAAGGTTTCAGGTGAATGCAAAATATGAATGTAAAAAACACATTTAAATAGGTACCTTAATAATTATTTTATTTTAAAAAAAAAAAACATATTTCGCAGACGATCTGTTGGTCAATCTTCAGCTCAACAATAATAACAATAACGGAATCGGTTCATATTACTTTTATTGTACCTATTTAAGAAAACCAAACTCATAGCGCCTACCATTATAATAATCATTTACTGTGTACGAGTTTTTGTATTATAAATTAATAAAATTAGTCATCAAAATAATTGCTTGATTTGAATACTTAAATGATATATTGATATAAATGGTGTTTAAAAAATTAGTAAAATTAGGCATCAACTATTAATATTAGTCCACCTTACCTACCTATACAAAAATATGACGAAAGAACAACAAATAATAGATATTATACGGCTGTAATGCAGTTTTAACAACAATTAAAACCACAATAATTAAATTAATTATTAATTATTACACAAATTATTACCTATCACTGGACCAAAGGCCCAACTAGATACTAAAACTCCCCTATTTATTTTTCCTTTTTAGTTTTTTTAATCTGACGTTTTTGTTAAAAATATTAATGTTTCGTGGTCATTATACGATATTTTCGTTATAGCATCACATGCATTGGTCCTTATTCTTAGCGGTTTAAGATTGTACCTCTTTGTTATTTACCCTGAAAGGGGTCATAATTTTAATAAAACATATTTGTAAGAAGAACACATGTAAATGTTTATAAGTTGTCACAAATTGTTTTTCATCAGTTTGTCGTTTAATAAATTTGCTAGTATCAAGCTACAGCGTTTCACAAATTTATCAATACTGAACACTGAAAATATTTTACCTAGTTAACAACATTCCTTCCTCGGAAATACTGAACAAATATTTAAGTAGCAATCTTATAAAAATATGTAAATTTTAAAGATACATAGATATTTAAAAAAGGTAATTATTTAGCTGTACCTAATGGCTAATAATATAATAAATAAATATTATATTATTGTTTTTATACCAAAATATTATTATCGAAGAAACAATATTTGAGGGAGTGTGATAATTAGCTGTATAATTTCAGCCTCTGATTGGAGCACCAATATCACGAGCGATTATAATCGTAAAAACGTATAAAATCACAGCACTGTATTTCGTTTTCCTAAAAGTGTTATTGTCCACTAGAAAGTGGAATCTAGGTATTTTTATCATACAGGTATTTTATTATCAATCAATGATACGTCGTAATAATTACTTTTTTTTTTTTTATAATTTATAGTTAATACCTATATTATCTTTCGTGTTGCGTTCGGTTATATATATAATTGTGCGTTATAAGGTTTCTCCGGCGCAGCTGTGCAGCGCTTCTTGCTGTCAATTATGATAGTTAGCATCGTCGGTGTTGCGAGATAACGACACTAGATAGCTCTGTCTTTACGCACTCATTGCGCCGCGTCCACGCAACCAAGTCGAATGTACTTTTCCGAACGTTTAAACGCTTTTCTCGGAGTTCACCGCTGGATCGGTAATACGCAAGCCGCGAAAATTCAACGCGAACGGCACTTCGGTAGACGCTTACTAGTCAAAATTTCGAATTTTGACACGCCGTTCTGTTAATGTTCTCAATTTGGACTGCTGCTACGGTACAGTATAAGTACAGGCCAGCGCCCGGTGAAATTTCAAGATCATACTTCACAGGATCATTTCTGTAGTATGCATCGTCCCCTCCAGGTGCAAATCTGGAGTCGTCATCAGCCACGATGATGAAATTTGTCCATTTACCAGAGCGTGAGACAGCTGGTAGTTTCCATTTTTATGGAAAGGCTATTTCAGCGACGATGATCGCAACCGATTTTCATATCGGGGGTAAATGGACAGTCTGAGTGGTTCACTTTTCCCAAATTTGAAATTACAATTGCAGTATATTTCACACGTTAAACCGTTGAAACCACGGCAATTTAATTAACTATTTAATCGCAATCAATTTACATTCAACCGTAATCGAAGTAACTGGGATAACTACAAAACAAAGAATGTTCAAAACTTTTATTCTATATTTTGAATTTTGATCCATTTATTAAATTCGGAGAGTGGTTACTGATTTCTAACAATAAATGTTGGTTAGTTTGTTTTCATAAAGGAAGACTTGCCGCTTTTGAACAATCCTCAAAATAAACCCTGATAAACACTCGTGCTCCTATCTTTATTTTAATTTCATAGACTAGAGGTAGGTATTATTTTAACATAATATTATTTATGGTTTTAACTATTTACGCAAAAAATAATAAGGTCACTCACCGTTTTTTTGATCTGCTGGTACATGCCATTTCGTCCGTTCTCAAACCACTGTGAACATAGTGCGAGTGCATTAAAACGACAAGAGTAAAAAAACGTATACCTACGCATGTACAACGCATATATTACAATAATACAATTCAACATGACATTAACGACCCTACAATGCACAGCTATAGGTTGAAAAAAGTATACATTAATATTATAATAGATTACGGTGTAACTCTATAATACAGTTGATGTGCGAAAATAAAAACTACAGACACAATCCAACGAGTTGAATGAATAACTATGATAGGTACCTACCTATCATAATATCCATACCTACCATAAAAAGTTACCTATCATAGTTATTCAATATATTTTGATATATATATACCATAATAAGAACTGGGGCACAAGCTATGTTTTATGAAGATGCTGCAATACTGTGTACTAATACTTTTATAAATCTTAAAAATATGTGTGATTATTATTGTTTCGGTAAATTTGTATTTTTAATTTTAAAATATAGATGACTTGACCAAAACATTTAGGTATTCAATAAGTCAATTGTATAATGAATGAGACTGCAATATTAAAGATACACTTCTATTGAAGCGATTATTAAAAATATGTCTCTACTATTTCAACTAATGGATAATGATGCGAGTAAGACAGACCATTGACACAGATAGTGCTTTATGGGTTTATATTAGGGGAATTTTAGAAATTTATATAAAACAAGACAAACCAAACGTGCATTGGAATGAATCATAATCCATAATAAATATTGTACACAATGATTTCAGGAGCATTGAGAATCACTTGGGGTGCCAAGAAAACCTACAATAAGTGTTAGAAAAGACTATTTTGGATAAATAAATATTGTCCTATTTGTTTTCATGTTGGCGATCTGAATCTGATTATAATAGAATGAATAGACTGTATTGATGATCGAGGACCAAAATGGGAACTCCCTGTAGATGAGTGATATGCCCTAAAAGGCATTCCTATAACTGTCTCTGATGCCATCAGTGTGCTTTTAAGAGATGCTAATGATAATAATAAATATATAATATATCAGTTATCTTAACAAACAAAATATACAAATAATTATTAAGTACCACCAGCATTACATTAGAGTATAATACCATTTAAAATACATAGTTTTTGTTAATGAGTATATCAATTTTAGGAATGAAATTATTTGTTAGCTAAATAATTTAATTATGTTTATAAGTCCTAAAATGAAAAATCCTAGTTTTTTGTTAATTTTTTATTATAGATAGTGCATAAGTATAAAGTTTCATATTTTTATTTTAGATTCTAAGCAAAACGAGAAATATATTGGTTTTACAATGATTATATTAATTAATTAGTTAATTAATGTGTCACCTTGAATATTATAATATGTATATTGTAGCACCATTATTGAATAAAAAAATGCATCATTTGGTAACCCACTAAGGAAAAAAGTAAAACGTGACTGAATATGAAAACAATACATAAAGAAAAAACTATACAAATTGGTAATTTTACATAGAAATATTTTAATTTTAATAGGAGAGATTATTTAAAATGAGTTATTATTAGACATACATATGTTAAGAAATATAAACTATTTGTTTATTATATATTATCTAAAATGTATTGACATAAGATATTATTTTTAAAATTGGTATATAACTTTGTACATTAAAAATATTATTAACATTATTTTTCTTTATTTCTTTGTGTATGTGTAATTTTCTTAAAACTGAACTAATGTAAATGTTACTTAGGATAGGTCTTTAATATTTCAAAAATATATTTATAGTTGTGTTTTATTTCTTCTTTAATATGTTTATGAATTTTTTAAGAGTACTTAAATTAAATTATTTCTATGAGCTATATATCTTATTTATTTATTAAATAAAATAAATATTATTAATAAAATAAAATTTATTAATGGTTTAAGATAATTTATATAAGTTGGTAGGTTACCTACTATACAGTAAAATGTTTAATTTATATTATTTGTAACAACTGACACTAGACCCTGTATACTTCAGTTCAAGTGGAAGGCCTTATTAAAATCATTTAACTATAACTAGGACTTGCAGGATGAAGTACTTAGAATTTTTGTTACTCTTTTACATAATTTAACAGAAGCATTGAAAATATAATTATTAATAAATTAAATAAAAACAACAATTGGTTTTAGGGTAAACAAAAGATGCATTACTAATTTTAAATATTACATATTACTTTAGGTTAATTGATAAGTAATAGTCAACCATCGGCTACAAAAAACAAATATTTTAATTCTTTAAAGTTTTTAATACTATACACAATTAATAGGGATAAAAGCCAGTAATATTTTTAATAGCTTCTAATTCATCTTTAGAAGATACAACTTCATAAGAATGAAATTCCATTGAGAATGTTGCAGTGCCTGATGTAAAAGTTCTGAGATCCTTTGAATATCCTAATAAATCTGCTAAAGGGACGAGTGCATTTATTACCTAAGAAATCCATTAAACAGTATTAATAAAAATAAATATCATATAGAAATATATATAATACATAATATATAACGTAATAGAAATGCTAACCAGATTGTTTGATCTAGTTGTAATACTTTGGACTGTTCCTCTTCTTCTACCAAAATCAGAAAGTACTGAAGACGAATTATTTTCATCTGTTACAACTTCTACTTTCATAATAGGTTCAAGTAAAATTGTATTAGCAGATTTCAGCAACTATTTTAAATAATACACAAATTTAAATTAACATATTTAATTTATATGTGAATACATAACATATTATCACATCATACATTTAACATTTGAATAATACATACTTTTTGAACACAATGATTTATAGCTGAACTTAAAACAGTATCTGATGTTCCTTTACTAACTTCTAACCAATGAAGTAAAAAGCGAACATTGACTACCTTAAATAAAACAGTAAAACAAATATTATTAGTTAATTTTTAAAATATATAGCATTTTTGCTACATTAGATACATTTATTTATTATTGATATATTTAATTTAAAAATTACACCTTACTACAGTTGAATCGATGATTACAGAAACGTCACGAGTCAATTTTTTTAAAACTTGGTATTTGATAAAAACTATAATATTTGTATAAATAATTTTGAAAATACATCACATACTGATTATATATAATATCTGTGTAAAAATTATTTAATGTGTGTTTATTATAAACTTTAAATATTTGAAGAGAAGATTTTTAAAATGTGTGACTCGTGGCATTTCTACAATCATTGATTCAGTTATTTTGAACAAATTTGAACCGATTGATCTTTTTAAATAATTATATTAGACATTTTGTCATAGCAATGTTTACATTCACATAATTGTCACTCTTTAAATTATTTTTTGACTAAACTAAGTCCATACACTTTCACACACAGTTCAGATTAAATAAAAAAGCACATTCAAATTTTGTAAGACAAAAATGGCAACTTTGAATTCTTTCTTAATCTTTGATATTTTTATATTATAAAATTTGAATACTTCCATGTATGTTTATTTAATTAAAATTAGAATACATTAATTATTTAATAACTAACAGGACATCCAAGTTTAGGACCATGTGCTAAAGCATCTTTCACAGTTGATGTTATAATGCTTAATCGATTTAACTGTATAGCTGCTGTATTAGATGCATTATCTGGGCTACAGTCCAATGATAATAGTTTTTTATCAGGTGTATCGTTTAATATTGACATCACTACATAAACACTGTGTAGAGTTGTACCTTCAAATTAAAAACACAATGCAATTAGTTTAAAAATATATAAGGATTATTCAAGAAAAACCATAATACATATTATAAATAATTTTAAATTGTACGTAGAAAACAGACAACCTTATTTATTAAATTTAAATATTAATTATAATTTATACATTTACATTATGCCAGAATAATGTATTGTATTTTTAAAACTCGAAGAATTAAAATTGATAATATGTATGGTAAGCTCTAGATATATCTTGTGAAGTTCCCCAAGACACAGTACTAAGTCCTCTATTACTTTTTCTTAATGATCTTTCACAAATAAAAATAAATATTTTTACCAAATTATTTAATTTTCAAATGATATACCATATTATTATCGAAAAACAATTTTAATAATTTATGTTACAAGTCTAATAACATTTTAAATAATAATAATTAATAGTTAATTTATTAAAATTTAAAACTACCTAATTTAAATTCTATATGTTTCTCAAAATGCATTACTCTTAATAGAGTACAAAAAATAAAAATATTTTGGTGTAATTGAATAGGTTAAAATGGAACAGGTATTTATATTTTGTTAATCATCATAGACATACAATTTTTTACATACATATATGTATATACATACTAATGTAAAAGGATTTAGCCCAAGTACAATCCTTTTTATTTTTATGGTGTATCAAATGAAAAAAAAAACAGAGAAGAACTTATATTAATCATTTGTCTGGACTTTATGCATTTCATTAAATATTAATATAAATAATTTGAATAGTTTAATTAAATATAAAAAAAATATATCAAACATTTAGATTTAACCTGTATTTGATTTTAGTTAATATTAAAAAATGTCATTATTATTTTTTATTTAATTCCTTTGTAATAATTTGTTTTTATCATATGTACCTCATTTGGTGTTAAAAAATAATACCATTTTTGTTCTTAATGATACATACTTCTATGTTATTTTGATGATATTGTTTATTTTATAAATGGGGGTAGCCCTTTTATAGTAGAATGTGGTATTCATAGCTAGGCTAATTAAAAATAAAAATAAAATACTGAATAACTAGTAAAATAATAATAATAAATATGACAAAATACTTAAAACACTCATAAGATTATGTAGAAGGTAAAGCAGTTTAATAGGTTATTTTTTATTAGAATATACTTAACAATATGCTTACTTAAATCTATAAGTATTCCAGGTTATATCAGAAATATTTAGGGTAGTGTAGATTTACAGTTCTAAAATTTTAATATTAGAATTTTGATTTTCTTTCCTGGTCTATACTAATTTTGTCTAGCTAAATTTATTTGAGCTACATATATCATTGTTTCTATAATATTTTAATTTATTATATATATTATTTAAGAACTGCTCCCCTAACACAAGCTTTGCTTTTTGGGGTTGCTGAAATATTGTTAACTAATAAATATCTTTAAAAAAATGTAGATTATTATTGTTGCAATAAATTAGTAATATTATTATTATTAAAACAAAATGTTTACCACAACATTATTAGTGTGATATACATTGTTTTAAATTTAAATTAATTGTAGCTATGATTTTAAGATCTTTATCATAACCCCCTTCTCCTCTATAAAAAAACCCAAACATAAAATAAAATACTACCATACACATCCTTTTATAATTGGGTGTATAGGGTATCCAACTACATAGTTTTTATATTTTAAATATCATAATAAAATTATAAGCAAACAAGATAAAATGTTAAGTAAACTTGTTATTTTAGTGATATTATTATTATTTTAGATAACATCAATTGTTTAAAATTAACCAACATTTTTACATTTTTAAAAATGCCTTAAATTATTCTATTTGGTAAATAAACAAAAAATTTAAAAAACTTATTAAAAATCTATAATATATTATATAATATTAATTATGCTTATTTTATACAATTATTTTTAATTTGCTGTGATTTTACTCGTGAAAGATTTCAGTATATTTAAATATTTTATATCTTCACAAGATTTAATTAGTGACCTTGTTAGTTTGTATATATATATATTTTTAAATATTGTAATAAATTAATAATTAAGATTTACCAATTTTTAGATTATATTGATAACTCTCTTTTGCTTCAGAAATTAGTCCTTCTTTATAAGAAATTTGTGGACGGCCAAGGTCAACATCAATTTTAAATTCAGTCTTAATTCGTTCACCAATTACTTCTAAATGCAATTCACCCATGCCTAATCTAAAAATAAATGAAATATAATCTTAAATATATAAAAGAATATCAACTATATGAAATTACCGGCTAAAATAGTTTGGCCATTTTCCTCATCATATTGAATTCTTAAACTAGGATCTTCTCTATGTAGTTGACTTAGTGCATTTTCCAATGCCAATTGATAAGACTAAAACCAATTAAAGTTATTAGGTTTAATTAATAATGAATAATTAATTAATATTACTTCCTTTATACTTGCCTACTTATCTATTTGTGATTAGTTAATGTCTACTTATAACCAGTATTATCTAGACATTCTTACCTAGATTCCTTATAACCATGAATTATAACACTTCCATATCACCTATGTACACACTAACTTCAACATTCTCAATTATGTATCTCAATATTTTCTGATATTTCTCTTTTTCTTTCGCCCTTTAATTATGTGCCTTACCAAACCAAAAAAAATAACCAAGGGATTGTATGGTTCATAAACCAAATATTGTATTAAATCAATAGTATTAGTATGACCAATAATCTGTTCAATAAAATCTAAACATTTTAAAACTATTTATTGCTGAATAAATTAGTTTACTTGTGACGGAGGTTCAATAGAACGAAAAAACACTGGATCTGGTATATGCATATCAACGCCAAGCATATCCATTGATTTTTCTTTGGTCGTTTCTTTTGATTTTGACAATTTAGCTAAGGCATTTTTAATTACATTATTACTGCTTGAAAGTAAATCTCCGCAAACAGTGCTCTAAAGAATTAAATACAATCATATGAATACAGATGAATTTAACAATATACATTATTAAACTACTTTTAACCCCGTAACAGCTACAATACTTCCAGATTTTACATTAGCCACTTCTTTATAGTCATCTGCATAAACAACCATAACGCGATTTATATTTTCTGACTTGGACTGAGAAGCATTGTATACTTTTTGGCCCTAAAAATTATCAATTAAAATATAACAAAAATAAAAATATCAGGAAATCAACATTCTTAACATTGTCATTTATTTTAAATTTTTTTAAAACTACCTTTTCTAAAGTACCCGAATATATTCTTAAAAATGTGACAGGTCCTTTTTGTTTATCATAAACAATTTTAAAAGCTCTGGCAGACATTGATGTTCCAAAAACTTTAAATGGTTCTAAATTCTTACGATCATTTGGAGATGGAAGATAATTTACAATATCATCCATAAGTGCTTGCACGCCAATATTCTTGTAGGAACTACCACAAACTAGTGGAACACCTTTCTATAAAATAAATTATAACCATTATAATAAAAATATGGAAAACAATTTTATTCACCAACATACTTGTGATATACACACACGTCTAATGGCTGATAATAAACTATCACTATCTATACTATCAATACCATCTGAATCTAAAACAATGTTAGCTATTGTTTCATCCATATCAGCTAAATCTCCAATAAGTGACTCTCTAACTTTACATAAAGCCTCCCATTGTTTTGTGTTATTTTCTATAGGTTTACAAATTACTTTTTGACCATTTTCTCCATGCCAAGTAGAAATATTCTTTTTTACTACATCGATTAAACCTATTAATCGTCCATTAGTTTCTAAACATATGAAATAATTATTAGTTAATTAAATGAAAATATTAACTTTATTTTTAAAAATTATTTCTATTCTCATGAACTAATTTTTGTCTATAAAAGCAATTGTTCATATTTCTCCCTAAATCAAGTATGTCAAACACGAGGTCTGCAACTTATTTTTATACTGCACATTGAAAAATAAAATCAAATGCGGCCCAAATCAAAAAAATAATAAAAACCGTATATATTGAATTTATAGTTATATTTTCTATAAGTTTCAAATGGTGTTAATTATTATCTTAAAATTAAAAATATCCAACATATTAATATTATTATATTACGTGTATCGTTTTTTTATATATTTTTGTATAAATGAAAACCAATAATATTAATATTAAAAATGATTCAAACTTAATAAAAAAATTCAATGAGGTTAATTGATTTACCAAATTTTTATAAATACATGCCAACAAAATGTTTAGAAACTTGGATATTCACTTGGAAGATAATGTTAATGTTTAGTAGAACTTATCAGTGTGATAAAATATTCTTATTAATGAAAGGAAATAGTCTTCTACTAAAAAAATGAAAAATTGTATAATTTGTTTTTTTAAATTTTGTATGAAAAATTAATATTAATATAATAATAAAATGTAAAAATATTTAATTGTTCTTAATAAATTTAATTATTTTAAAATTTATTTTATTTTGCAGCTCAACTTTTTTTGTACTGATGTTTTGAATCAAGTAATACTTTGAGTTTGACAAGTCTGCTCTAAATGGTTATTTGACAATAGATTAATGAAAAAATCATAACTTTAAAATATTAAAAATAATTCTAAATTTGGAAAACCGTGACCTTTAAAGGTAAAATTTTAAATTAAAATAACTAACCTCTAATTGGTATTTGTAATTGTAGTGGAGTGATATTAAATTTTGACTTTAGTAATTTTATACACAATGGCAATGAAGCATCTGATCGGTCCATTTTGTTAGCATAAATTATACGAGGTATTTCATACCTATCAGCTTGACGCCATACAGTTAATGTTTGAGCTTCAACTCCTAATATAAAGTGCAATTATTTATATGATATTTAAATATGTTTAACAATTAATACATTTACATGGTACAGTTAAATGTTTTAAAATAATTCACAACAGTTTTAATAACTAATAACTTAATCAACGAATCACAAATCAATTGTGGAATATGAAATGTTCTTGTCATTACATTAAAGGTAAGATAGACAAAAAAAATAAATTTTAATGATAAGGCACCTTGCAATATTTTAACGAAATTATTATAACTTACTATAACTTGTTTAGGGTTAGTAGGTTAATATAATAGAGTTAATTTTAAAAAAACAAAATCATCTATTAATAAATTATAACATAATTTCCTTTAATATAAAGTATTACAGTTTTATTATATAGATAATTATTATTATTTTACCAGTTGTTATTGTACACAGGGCTATCAACAAAAATTATTACCTATATAACATTGCATTAGTAACGAATAAGCATCATAGTTAATTTTTCATAACGGATTCAGTAAAGATATTATATTTAATATATGAATCAATTGAAAATTTGATAAAAAAAATATATATATTTTAATAGTAGGTATAATATTAGCTAATTTATATGTTTCAATCCTAAACCATTTCCAAACAATCAGTATAGTTTGAAATCCTTAAACTAATCCTTTAAACAGTACACAATTTTATCAAAATTTTAATGATTTCTAAAAAAATTTAAACTATGTAAATGAAAATTAACTGTTTTAGTTTAAAACATTTCACTGCACCATATAAACGTAGTACATAATTTAAATATTTTAACCAGCAGACGAGTCTAATACAATAACTGCACCATCAAGAATGTTTAATGTCTGTTCCACTTGCATTGTAAAATCAATATGTCCTGGAGTATCTACTAGATTAATATTGTGCTTTTTCCATGGTATGGTCACAGCAGCAGAAGTAATTGTTATACCTACATACATTTTTATAGTAAATAAATTAATATTATAAAACAATGATTGTTAATAAATTATTAAGAAGTTATACCTCGATTTCTTTCTTGATCCATATAATCAGTTACTGTATTACCATCATGTACTTCTCCCATGTTAGATATTAAACCTGAGTAAAACAACATTCTTTCAGTTGTTGTTGTTTTACCTAAAACAAAATTAATATTTACAAAATATTAAGTCAAACATTAATATGTAGCTTCATCAGATATAATACATTTAAACAGGACTAGAACACAATTTTACCTATGCATAACATAGCCACTTATATCTGAAACTAAATTTGAAACTTCATATTTTATCTAATTAACCTAACTTATTAAAGTTTTATGTGGATGAATAAAATATAAATTTATATAACATTTTCAAATAGAATTAATGTTCACATAATATAATAAACTTAAACATTTATAATTCCATATTATTTTTTCACTTATATTGTTGTTTTTTTGCTTTGCAAATACATTAATATTTTAAACTGTGAATTTGTAACATCATAGTTTTTGATAAGTATTTTTTAAATTTTAATCAAAAAATATAAAATATATTCACATCACTTGTTTGCTACAACGACATAACACAAAATCATCATTTTTTAATCGTTTGCAAATAATGATAGTATTAGTATTTTTCTCTATACTAGTAGAGCGACATAAATGAGCATACAAAATTAGCATTTAAATGGCAATTGTGAAGTTATTGCAATATTATTTGTTATCCACGTGTTTTATTTCAATATTGTCTTCAAATTCATTCTACATAAAATCATGTTTTTTTGTGTTATGACCTTGTTGTAGTAAACAAGTGACATATACTTACCCATAATAGATTAAAAAGTAAAATAAAAAAAATTTACAAATTTTAGTATTAAACATACATTAAGTACTTATTTGAATATTTACCAGCATCTATATGAGCTAAAATTCCAATGTTTCGTATTTTTGAAATGTTAATAGAATTCTGACAATAATGACGTTTTAAACCCTGTCGAATCCATGTGTTATGTTTTACTCGCCGAATAAGCAGAAACATTCTACAATGTAAATATAAATAATTTAATTGAACATATGAACATTTTAGTATTTAAGTTCTTTAAAAATATGCCATAATAAATAAAAAAAAGGTTTGAATATAAATATTTAAATCAATTAACATGTTGGCTTAAGAATTAAATTATCTTCATGATTATTAACTGCATAAGTTATTTAATAAACTACTTAATAATTATACATAAAATACCTATATATTTAAATTGATGTGACTAAGAATGGAATTAATAATTTTTCAATAACTCTATAAGTGTTAATCTAAAACTTGATATTTAGAAAATTCATTAGACCAAAAAACCGAAAAAATCAAAAAAAACTCAAATTTTCAAGATAACTGTTATCATTTATGACCATGGTCAAAGAAACTGATAAGGTAAGGTTAGACCCATGATGGAATTAATGTAACTTCAAAATTTATATCTGCACGGCTATATGATTTAATTTTGGTCCACAGTAATTCAAAATTGGTTTTTGATTTAAGACTTTCGTTGTCATATATGGATTATGAAAATCCATGATGTAATACTCATTTCTATGAAAATGTATAAATTCAATAATTAATGATTCCCACCAATTAACTATAGTAAAATAACTACATAAATTAAATATTTAGATCTTCAGCATTGTCAAACAAATTGAGACTTAATAGCCATTACTTAGACGGTAATAAATGTCTATGTGGTTATTCTTTTATTCCCAATTTTTTATGGCGTTTAGATGATTATAACTGAGTAATTTTACTTGTATTTTTTAACCGTCTTTTGAATTAAGATTTTTTAGTACTCTTGTACACCTAGTTTTCCATATTTTTTGACCTTTTTGTTTGAGTGTTACATATACGTTTTCTAGTGGACCTCAAAAACCTGCTACATTTTAATCTACAATTACAGTGTAACATATTAATTTTAACAGTTTTAAATCATGATTCGATTGTAACGTTACTCTGACGATTTTCAACATCAATATCGAGCAGCTTGTTATTTATAAGTAATGGACATCCAATTTTCTTTATCGCCATATTTATGGAAATATTTGATTATTTAAATTTTAAAGAATTACAAAATGTATACCTATTGTCTAAACAGTAACCTGCATACATTTTCTGTATGAGGAACCGGTTAATATGATATCTACTGGAGTTCTAAAATAATTAAAAGTATTAATAAAATGGTTACAAATATAAGTGAATTTAAATGCTTTTAATAAATTTTAAAATACTATTTAAATATACCTAGGTTAGAACCTAGATAATTGATTAATATTTTGAATATACTCTGGGTTTTCAACTTAATTTCACTAACATGGTACTTTGATTTATTTAACTTTAATAAACTAGAAAGTTGTTAGATATAAAGATTCATTGTTATTGTATTGGTACCATAATATATATCATATAAGTACTAATCACTGAAACACAAATTTACTTACATTTATTTTATTTAGATTCTTTTGGATCTAATATTGAATTGAAAAAAAAATTCGTATTTATTTCATTCTACTGTGAAATGACTTAAATAACTACTAGCTTAGATATTATTTTATGATCACAATTGTATAGTTTATATATATCAAAAAAAACCTGTATATATTCATGCATTTTTATATGCTTTCAAGGTCGTTTTGAGTCTAATTTCCATCTTGTTATTTTATTCAGTATACCCTCAGATCTCCATACATGTCCTACCCATTTTATTCTGCTCCTTTTCACAATTCCTATAATACTGGATATGGCTTCTCTATATAAACTTCTCAGTTTTTCATTTCTTTAAATTTTAAATTTGCTTTCTTTGTTCTTTTTTAGTCATAAATGATATGAAGTATTTTTCTTTCAAAAACACTCAACATGTTCTCATCTGTTTTAGTGCTTACCGCCCACTTCTCGTATGTGTATAATGCTATTAATCTAATATTAAGACTTTGTATAATGTTCTCTTTAATTAATTGAAAGTAATTTTGATTTGAACAGTGTTGATAAACTAAAGTAGCATCTGCTTGCAATTATCACACTTTCTTTTAAGAAAGTTAAGTTGGTTAAAATATTTAAAAAAATTATTATTGTTATATTCCAGTAATATTTTATAGTCATACTTTTATCATTTTGAAATAAATGTAAAGATATGAATGGGTAGATCAATTTTTAGTTATGTATGGTACATGATAGATCTGACAGATCCATAATGCACACAGGCATTGAGTGGTAGATAAGTGAAAAAAAAATTTGAGAACCTCTAGTATAAATGTAAGTTTATTGATAAATTAACTAGAAATAACTGAAAAATTAAATACAGTCGAATTTGATTAACTCAAACATCTTTAACTTGAAATCGTTGATATCTCGAAAATTCCCGTGTCTAGAATTTTCTATTTAAACAATGGAAAAATTCTTGGATAACTCGAACTATTTTTTCCGATCCCTTCAACTTCGAGTTAACCAAGTTCGGCTGTATATGTTGATTCATGGTCATTCCAATGGCATGAAGGGGATGAGATTAAAATTTCCTTATTTCAGAATTAAGTTTTTGTAAATATTATTGAGGATAGTTGAATTTGCATCAACTGGATAAAAATGTATTATCGTAACTTAATATTTATTTGATTACATATATAGGTCATTGACCAGTTATAGCATAAGGATCAATATTAATTTGGTTAATATCATGAATTAAGATGGAAATAAAAATAAAAATTAGGGGAGCAGAAATAGGAATTGAATTTTAAAATGATGAACCTTTATACAATTTACTGTCAGACTATATTTGCATGATATATTTTGAAATATGTAGAAGACAAACAATTCATTTTATTATAACATATGGCTTTATTAAATTGAATATGTAAAATATTTATAATTTATTTGCAAATACTAAAACAATATATAAATAAAACAAAAACACATACAGAATTAGAACATTATTAATATGAAAATGTTATAAATGCATATTAACCTATGGTGTTTTTAATACTTTAACACCAGCGTTTAAATCATTTATTATTATTAATATTAAATTTATACACATGAATTTAACAAAAAATCTTCAAAACAAATATATAATAGATTAATAATTGCAATAAGTTAACATTGATAGTTTGTTGAAATAAAACTTAAATCTATACGTAAAAATAGTTTTAAAAAATCATAATATTATTCATAGTTAGGTACTTATGAAGAACAAACATTAACCAATTTAGAAACCAATGATTTTGTTTAGAATAAATTATTGACAATTTTAAATGTATATCATTAAGTTTGATTATTAATGGTTTATTACAATAATTATGTCTTATTTTAAGTCTATAATTATATTACTTCCTTGACACTGGAATATGTCCACTCTATATACTTTAACATTTTTCATTTAAATCATCAGACCCAGTAGCATGATCTCTTATTTCATCATTATACATCTTAACACAATGTTTTACAGGAGAGCAACCAAGAGATGAATCCTGTTTTAGTGTTTCAATATCATGAAACACAATCTGGGCACCCCCACCCATAGTTTGTATAATATCCGCCTAAAAAAAATTCAAAAATTTTAATGTTATTTCAAAGACAACTTTTAAACTTAAATACTTTGTACAGTTTTGCTTCTGAATTGCCCTGTTCATCTACTCCCTGTGTCATTAAACAATATTTTGAAGCCCCATTATTAGTTACAGTTTTAGCATCTGTTAAATTAGTAACAGATTTGCAGTTCTTCATTTTTGGTTGCATAACAGTATTTAATGGAATGGGTGCTGGAGGCTTGTGTTCAATCCAACATTCTTGTGGGTCACAGGACTTTGAACGTCTTGGACATAAATTTTTTAATGTCATTTTTGTATGCTAAATATGAATTAACATTAAATTAATCTTTCGGTTATATATTTAAAAAGTTATAAATAAATATATTTTATTTTTTACTTAAACTAGGTTAAAATGAGGTTTTTACCTCATTTTGTTTTGAATCTGATAGTTCTATATTTACATAAGGTACAGGTTTGTTTGAACTTTCATCAAATAAAGTTTGTTTTAAAATACGCCTAGAAGGATGATTAGGAAGGCTTTCTATGCTTTCTGCGACATTCTTGATATGTTTTAATTTAAGTTTTTTTTCTTGTAATTTTATCTAAAAATAAAAATAATAGAAGTTATAGTTTACAAATATGTTTACTTTTTTAATTTGCGATTATAAATATTTTTCAATTCAAACTTTAAAGAGTTGTTTAAAAATAAGTAAAATATGTATTATTTAAATATAGCAATTAAAATGTTCATCTTTTTTTGAAAAAATCGTATTCATTTAATATGTTTTATAGTTTGGATATCATAATTGAAAATTTGTTATATATACAGATAAACATAATTCAGGGTTTTTTAAAATTAGAAGTAAAGCTGTACAAACTTCAAATTCGTTTTCTTGAACTTTCCACTTATCTTTCAATCCTTTGAATAACTGTTCTTGTTTTTTAATAATTTTATTATTATATCTTTGTTTTAAAAGATCTTTATCTGCAGACACTTGATTAAGCATATTTTCTTTTGAATTTAACTAAAATTAAAGGGCATAATTAACTCAAAAATAAAGTCCAATAGTATAATCAATATTTGATCTTACATTTGATTTTAGTTTTTTATTTTCACTATCTAATAATCCTAGTTTTCTTTTTAAGGAAGCAATTTCATTTTCTAATAAAAACACCTTATTTTGATATTGTTTAATCTATACAAAAATAATATACATGTATAATAAAAATAATAATAATAAGGTTTAAGATTATTTATACTTTATTAATGTCTTGATCCCTCAAAATTTGTAGAGAATATACTTCTTGTTTCGAATTGGAATTATTAAATTCTAATAACACCATATGTGCACGTATTTCATTACCTTTAAAAAATAACTATATTATTATACATATATTATTTCTACCATAATAGTCAGACATGGTTAAAGGGATAGCAAAATAGTTTGAGTTATCCATGAAATATTAGATTAAAATGTTATTTTTTTAACATTGTTAAATAGGAAATCCTAGGGAACAATAAAAAGTTGAGGTATCAATGATTTAGAGTTAAACAAGTTCAATTGAATATTAAAAACAAGTACAATACTTTGATTAATCAACACTTCACGAAGTTCATCTTTTCTTTTAATTCTTTGATCTAGAGCATTTATCAACTCTTGTCTCTTTTGTTCATCCAACATATCATCAATGTTTATCTCAGGCAGAGGTGGTCCCAAATTTAAAACACTAATAAAATAAAAAGTAAAATCAAAATTATTAAATAGTTGATACTCGTAAATAAATATATAAATAAATAAATAAATGTATCGTCTAGAGTATTAAGAAATGTGTTTTAGTTAACTACTTGAACAAAATAAATAAAAATATTAAATTTACACTCGAAAGAAAAAGTAACAAACTTAGTTCTTACAGTTTTTATAATAAAATATAAATTTGATTTTAGTATTTACAGGAAACCCACACAAACTGATTCTATAATACCACATGGTTCTAATCATCCTTAAACTCAAAAAATATCATTGTTTAATTAAATATTTCTATAGGCTTGAACATATTTAATTAAAATTTAATGATTAAATAAACATAATTATCAATACGAGCTCAATATTATTTATAATATATTATTATATATACAATTTTAAAATGAGATATAAAGAACACATTTCTGAAATAAAATTTAAAAAAAGACTGCCCCTTATTCAAATTTCACTAAAAATGTATTAGAAAAAAACCATAGTATAAGTTTTAATATAAATACAGACTTAGAAATATTAAATACCCAAAATAACATTTACATTAATTCAGTTAATGTCAAAAATAATGTTAATAATATTTTAAATGTACAAAGTTATAAACCAATTTTAAAAATAATATCTTATATCAATAAACTTTAGATAATATATAATAACCAAATAATTTATATTTCTTAACATATGTATGTCTAATAATAACTCATCTTAAATAATCTCTCCTATTAAAATAAATTATTTCTATGTAAAATGATCAATTTGTATAATTTTTTCTTTATGTATTCATTATTTTTTTTCATATTCAGTTGCGTTTTACTTTTTGACTTTGGGATTTACGTGATAATGAATTTCTAGTTCGTAAATGGTCGTACAATACACAAATTTAAACCCTAATTAATACTCCAGGCAACCCATTCATTTATTTATTTCTACATATAAATTATTTATTTATATATTTAAACACTAATAAGAAAAAAATATGTAAGTATTATGAAAGAATCAAATATAATTACCTAAGGTAGGTGTCTTTGGAATTATCTTTAACTATGTTATTAAGTGGTGTTCTAGGTTTTCCTTCAAATACACATGGGGTGTTTGCCAACTGCATCTAAAATTACACTTTATTATTAATTATATATTTATCCAAATAAATAAAATAGTCATTGGTTTACATTAGATCTATTGGCTGTAAGTTAAAGGTAACACTTACATCAATCATTTTTCGTCTTCCTGGAATCAATCCTATATCCATTAGTAACGGTGTGGTTCTTTTTACTTTAACATTACTAGAAATTTCACCAAATTGCAACACAGGCTAGACAAATAAGTTAAAAAATAAATGAGGTTAATTGAAATACAAATTTATTAGTTTTATATTCACCAATAGCTCTGAATATTTAGATAAAGAGTTAATGCAAATAAGTATTCGGATTGAACCAGAACCTTCAAAAAAACTTTTGAATAGATGTGTAAGACGTGATGTTCTATAGGGTATTTTCTCAGCAATGTTCCTTAAATTACTGGAAGACTGATTTTCGTATAAAATTCTGAGACATTGTTTTAAATTTGATAATGAATTATTAATTCCACCTGTAAAAAATATTTAATTTAAAATCAATACAATTTAAAAATATGATATAATTTTACCAGCTTCTTGAAGTCTCTGCCCAGTTGTTTTTGCTTTATCAGTTCGTTCACTTCCAGCTAAATCCACCAGTGACAATTGACTTACAACAGTATACTTTTTGTCTTGAATTACATTTAAACCATCAATATCCAAAGGTGCCTAAAAAATATTTTTTTAGTAATAATGAACAGTGGCGTAGCCAGTGGGTAGGCCTGGTAGACCTGGGCGTACCCACTTTTCTCCAAAAATTAACACAATTTTAAAATTAAAAATTTGCATTAGTAGTCTTTCCTATACAAACATTTATATTATTTTATCTAGCCTACCCAGAAAAATATTTCTAGCTACGCCTTTGATAATAAAACCATAAAATAATATTTGTTTTATTTAGGTAATGTTCATTAAAATTATTTTTATTTAAATTTATGTTAGCTTTGTTTTAATTATTTATGTAAGCATTTAAAAATGAATATCAGTAACCTGATAAAGGCACAATGTTGAAACTAAATAGTTATATAATAATAAACTTTCACAAATTATTTTTAACAATTTATTAAAGATGTTAATACAAGAAGTGTTATATGATCTCTAATTTATCACAATAAATATGTTACAATACATAGACATATGAATATTTAATAGTTTATCAGTTTATCTTTATATAGGCTTACAATAAACACATAGAAATTGATTTTAGTTGGCGAGTTAAGTTTTTTATACATTTACAACTAGGCCTATTAATTTATTTATATTATCTGATATATCCACTGGATCGAGAGGGTTGCAAACAAAGAGACACCTATTAGATAGGATAAAAGAAAAATGACAATTATGAAACTAATGTATTTAATATTTTAATAAAATGATAAGCACATATTAAAACACAAAAGCTTACTAAAGAAAATAATTGAATGAATGTTAAAGGATACGTTAGGAGAGAAAGATCAAGGGTATAAAGAGAAGAATACATGACACAATAGTCATAAAGGGTATGAATAAATGAAAATACACGGACCAAAAAGAATTAAGCTGCAATTAAGAGGCATGAAGTGTTGCAACTAATATGAAGATAAATAATTAAAAATAAATAAAATACAAATCTGATATAATAAAAAATTTGGTCACGATTTGTATTATTATTATTATTATTATCAATACCTATCATAATGATTAAGTATTAACCAAAATTTGAATATTATATTCAATTATAAAAATAAAGAATACCGTCTTGTTAAGTCTATGTATTATTATTAGGTACTGGAATATTATGTTTAGGTACCTACTTACTTTAACAATTCTAACAGTAAATACTGTATGGCTGCGACTAGAATCCGTGTTCAAAAAAGTTGGCGCTGTACGCTTTCGCAATTGACCTTTTCGAAATGATTCAATAGCTTCATTTGGATTGACTACTTCTTGTTCATTTACACCATGAACATACATATTGCCATTTGAGTCTTCTCGTATTATTTTACTATTTCTTTAATAAAACCATAAATATTACTATACATTTGTTTACAAATGGTTTTATCTTACAGTCTTATTTCTCCATCAGACACATCTTCTAATAGATCATAAACATAATTGTGATATATTTCCACATAACTAATGAAAACTGAATATGCGCTATCTTGATTTATGTTTGTCACTTTATAATTAAATGGTACACGCAGTATATCTATACCTCCATCTTTCCTAAAAAAGTTAATTTAATTTGTATATCTATTTACCTATGGTTATACTCATATATTATACTGAGCATTTTTTTTTTAAATTTAAAATAGTCTTACTTTTTATATGTTGTTGATGAATTTTTAACTTTATTTTTGATATCTTTGGCTTGAAAAATCATTGCTTCTTCAACACTATGAGCGTCATAGCCATTAAGTTTGTCAGGCTTAAATGTAAATTTTCTTGCTTGGTAATCTTTAATAGAGTTGAATATTACATCAAAGGATCTACCAACAATGCCATCATCTTCCTGGTTCCCAGTCATTGTATATGACTTTCCACTACCTGATATTCCATATGCAAGAAGTAGACTACTTTTACCTTTTAATAATTGTTCAACTAATGGTAATCCCAAATCTTGGAAGACCATATCTTGAGTTTCATATTGGGAAAATATTTTTTTGTAGCTAAATTGACATTCTCTAGATGTTCCTCTTTCATTTGGCAGACAATATATTTGTAAATCAGTTTCTGATACAACTTTAACACATGAAGATTCTACAGTATGTTCAACAGGTCGAAGTCTGCAATATACTTGAATAGGGTCTTTTTCATTATCATTAGACTTTTTGTGACTCGCAGCTGGTCGACACCCAACTCTTTTCATCTTATTTGAATAAATATTTTTTAATTTAAAATTATGTTGATACTTTTATTGCTGGTTATCTGATGTATGTTAAATTTGTTCAAACATTTTACGAATAATAATAAACATAATTTGAGAGTTGTTAAAATTATTGATAAGTTTTAATTAATTAGAAAACATGAGGTGTAAAATTATTCCATTGTAGATTTATAACCACTAAAATGTATGTACATATTAAGAAATAAGTAGGTACTTTTCTATGTAAAATAAACAAGAAATTCAAAAAATATAGTTACCTACCAATTTATAGGTTTTTTTTTAAAGTTATTTACTCATCACTCAATAGAAATAATTAATTTTACTTACTTTCAGATTGTAGTATGGTACAGAAAAACAAAATATCGTATAATCTTAAATTAATAAATGATAATATGTCGATAACTGACAATGAAAACGAAGGTAACTACTTGCATACTTATTTAGGATATAGCGTGATTAATTATGAAGATTTATTATACTTCTGTATAATATTTAAACAATTTAACAGGGAATACTATAAATTAAACAGTACCTGCAAGACATACGACAAATCGTCTCGTTTTATGAGTCAAGGCATCAATACACAATAAGTACTGAATAGGTACATTAACGATTATCAACTTGTTTTATCAATAATATGGAAACAATCTATTTTTAAACATCTCTGCAGGATTGTCCAGTATAATGAAAAAACACAATATAGTACAAACACCATTATAAATTAAAATAATAGGTAGGTAGTTTATAGTTTACATAATAAGTAACAATTAGCCACTAGGATTAGGTTAACAATAATACGGACATATTAAGGTCTATTATCAATTAGAATACCCATATAATACGATACCTACTATGTGGAAATAAAAAAAACGATTTCCTTTAACATAAATGTGTAATCATAACCTCCAATGTAAATTTTGACGGGAGGTACAGATTTTCTAGGATATTCATACCCGTGCTCTATGATAAAATGTAACAGAACATGGTCGGTAACGTATTCTTAGTCGATTTTAACCGGATTTTCCTTTAGTATAGGTAAAATCGTATCCTAATCGATTGAGAGAAAAATTAAATTTTTATTTTCATCCCCTAAACACAAAACAAAAAATAATTTTATTTATTAATTTTAGAAAATTTTTAAACTAGCCATTCTGTAAAAATTGTATTCAAACAATTTTGATTTATTAAACATTCATATCCGATTAATAGTTAATTATAGCCGTTTTAATGTTCGGAGAATAATCGTGAAAACAATTAATATTCAATAAAATAACACGTTATGCGATAAGGAATCACAATCAGCACAGTAATTCTTTACCTTCTATTATTGAATATTAACTGATTTCACACCTATTTTCTAGAAATTAAAACGGCTTAAAATTAATAAACTATTAATTGGATATGAATATTAGATAAATTAAAATTGTTTGAATACAATTTTTACAGAATGACTGTTTTGAAAATTTTCTAAAGTGAATAAATAAAGTTATTCTTTGTTTTGTGTTTAGGGGATAAAAATAAAAATTTAATTTTTCTCCAAATCGATGTTCTCCTTGAAGACAAACCGATCAAAAAATTAAAAAAAACCGAAAAAATGTAATATTAACAGTGCTGGAAAAATCTGTTAAACACGGTGGGACACACTGTATTATTATATAACGTTTAGGATTTTGTTACCTGTGATGATTGTTACCTTAATGGTATAATTATCCGGGTCTAGGACACTTCACCGAAGAACCGATTCGCCGCTAATTGTTTCGCTGCTTGTCTTTTCACCGCCAGACTTTATTATAAGTTTTACTTAATGGTCAAAAAAATAAATTTGAGTCCAATGCTTTAGTGTTTTTTTAATAGGCGTTTTAAGATCAAATTACGGCATTTTAAAATTTGTTTTACCGAATTTCGCTCCGAATCGTTTTCCGTTAGTAATGGTTTATCGTTGCGTACAAATTTAAATTAAATAAATTTATGTGCCATAGTGTCACACCTTCTCAAAATTCCAACTTGCTGCCCACAGCGGTGGCTGCACTCTTCCCAAGTATAAGCTCTTTTTTAAAAATATGTTGATTTCTCTTAAGAAAATAAGTCTGTCGGCGAAAAGTCGGGCGACAAAAAGTTTATCGGTGAAAAGACTAGCGGTGAATTGGTTGTGGTGAATCGATTCATCAGCGAAACGGTTCGTTGGCGAAATTGCTTCTGCGAAAAGGTCGCGGCGAAGTGGTTCGGTATATTAGTTCAATGTAACCAGATTTGAAATTTCGAAGCTCCGTGATTCTACGACCTCTCAGTCACTCTTCACCGGTTTCGGTTGAAACATGCGGTCGTAAAGCTTGTCCTTGTATTATACATAATATTTTATTGTGTAGTGTTTCTTTTTACCGTGGTGTCGTTAGAATTCGTAATTTTTCTCGGTTTTTCTACGGCCAATATTTTATTAAATTAAAAAGTGTCGTTGCTAATATTATTATTGTGTTGGTGTACTGGTGTTCTCCGTCAAGACTCAAGACTGAAAAGTTTCGGTGTCAAATATACAGCGCCATTTGAGCCTGTGACAGTGAGTTCTCAATTTTTTTTACATTTCAACCTCTAGTATTTCAGTAAGGAATATACATATTTCCAAAAAAGAGTTCACTTTCATGTTAAATCATTCGCGTTCCCAACAGAGAGCGCTATTGTGGTATTGTAATGGCCACTGGCCATATGATAGCGCTCTCTTTAGGCAGCAAAGTTTTTTCTAAATTTAAGCATACTTTATGAAATTCTAGTATAATAACACGACGCTAAATAACAAAATCTAACAATTAAAATAAATATAAGTTATGTAGTAAGTGCCTTTTAAAAAAACTGGTGGGCATTGCAATTTTATTCAACCCATTTAGATATCCCTGAAATATAGATACCTACCTAAACCGAGTTTTCGATATTCATTTCGTTTTTAATTCTTATACGTTATCATTACCTAAGATATTACTCATTAGTAATCATACTGATTAATATAACAAATAAACTTAACACATTTATTCACATTCAGAAATTTTAATCATTTTCACCAAAAATAATGATATTTAAAATTTTTTTTATCAAGATACATTAATGAATTACAATTTTTTTTATAATTAAAGTGTTTGATATGATACTCAATGAGCTATTAGTAACCCATGGTACTTTCTAACAACCTTTAAAGGTTTAAAAAATTTTCTAAAAAAATTATTTTATACACTAAAAATAATTTACTTTAGAAAAAATAAGATAGGTATTTAAATTCAATATTCACAATTCCACATTACCACAATTTTAGGATTTTACTGTTTTATTATAACCTATAAATACAATATTTTGCTTAGCTAAAAATATCAATACTTTAATAATAACTGTAACAACTTCTCTATTTTCTGATATTTGTTGATGTTTGGTATGAAGGAGTTTTGAATCTAATCTGATATTTTTGGAATATAATCCATACCATATCAGCTTGAAGATGATTAGTAGTACCTTTATGCTTGAGTTTCTAAGTTTCTTTTCAAATATTTTCAATTATTTAACATTTAAATACACCCACTAAATTTTTGTTTGGGATAGTTGTGTAAAAAAATCTGTCATGCCACCACTGATTAGATGTAGTCCTATAAGTTTTATAGTTGACCATGATATTTTCGTTGATAACGATAGGTAATTTGTTCTTTTAATAAATCTGCAGGATTTTTGTCAGTTTTTATTTTTCAACCTCAATTAGTTTTTAATAATTTAGTTCCTACTATTATTTTAAATACCTATTCCGTTAAATTATTTTCCGATATTTATTTTAACCCTTCCATTTTGTCATCTCGGTATTTATAGATTAGTATTATACAACTGTTCGATATTTAAACTACTTTTATTTTTATTGTGTTTCAGATTTGGCATGGTCAGTAGTAAGTCCAAACTGCAGTCACAGATGAGGTTAGTTGATATTTATATTAAACAGCCAGCGATTCATTCCCAAATCCTCACAGTACCTATTACTAAAATACTAAAATACTATTATTTTATTGATACATCCATAAAATATGAATCATGGCTGTTAATAATGAACATAATTTATTATTTTTAATCTGAATTGATTCTTTACCTAATTGGGTTGACTAAATGAATTAATTACAGCTTTTTATATCAAATAATATATATACAGCAATTGCTTTTTTATGGTATTTGTTAAAATTAAATAATATAAAAATAATACAAAATTATGCTTAAACTTTATATTATAAGATAGAATAGGTAACACAATTAAATGTTGTAAGTAGAAACTAAAGAATATTTAATTTTTGTCTCCTTGAAAATTATAAAGATGTTATCGGTAAGTTTTTCTTTGCTTAAATTAATTACCTTTATTTGTAAGTGTCTACTAATAACTTATCTAATGTGATTTATTTGTTCCTAATTAAAACTATTACATTTTTGGGATGTTTCTAATAGAAACTGAAGGTGAACTATAATTAACATTTCTGAGTTCAATGAAGAAATTGATTATATATAATATGTGATGTGGTGCAAATTGGTGGTGGATACCCTACATAATTTGGTAAAGAAAAAATTTGGATATTTATAATAAAGTTATAAAGTCCAAATACTAAACATTAATCTAATATTAAGAAAATACAAAATAATTAAATAACTAAATATGATATAAAATTAAAAAAATAAAATAAAATAAAAATCGCTTGCATGATCTATAAACACATTAACTGGGGCGCACTTTTTTCCATAAGACCAAATAGAGAGTGTTTTTTTTTTTTTAATAGGAATAATAGGAGAAAACAATAGTTGAGCATCAAAATAAATATCAATATTTTAAACTGAATTTAAACTAATTAGAATATTAGATTATAGTTATAATATGACTTAATATATTTTTTTGAAAAAGTAACTGTAGACATTTATTGTTAATATTTAAAGAAAGAATTTACTTTTTTATATTTTGAAAACATTTAATTCTCATCGTCTAATGTCTTTTATGGGTATATTTATTTTTAAAATTAATATTATGTATAATAATGATCAC